CCACTTCTCAATCAAGAAGGGGGCTCAAACTGCAGCATGTTCCAATGCTGGAGCAGCTAGCAGTTACTTAGCTGAGGGAGCAACACACCCAGTTCTCAATCAAGAGGGGGGCTCGACCTGCAGCAGGTTCCAATGCCGGAACAGCTAGCAGTAATTTACTTAGCTGAGTGAGCAACACACCCAGCTCTCAACGAGAGTGGGCTCGACCTACAGCACGATCGTTAGAAATCAGAAGGGTAAGCGGAAGGGCCTAGTTTGCCTGATGCTGCTGGTTCCAGGTGCTCTGGAAAAACAGAGAACTCAACTCTCACGTGAGAGGAGAACTCCAGCGAGGAATCCAACTCCTCAGAGAGGATTAACGCTCGAAAGAAAGCACCATACTCACAATAACCCTCAATTGTGAGGGGAGCGATGCTTCAAAAGTGTGTCAACAGAGACACATTGGTTGAGTGGAGCCCAAGGTACCGGGGTCTAAACCAACTCAGAGAAAGGGAACGAGGCTAATAACGCGTAACCCTTACCATACAGGATTTCAGAAAAGTGCGCAAAGTATAACGTGCACACTTACCACTATGTGGATTTTAGAAAGTGCGCAGCGACCCCTAGAGGACGCAGTTCGAAGTTCCCTTGAAAGGGAACTACACTCTAAAAAGAAATGCTGGAAACGGTTGCAAGTTAAAATTAAAGTAAAAAAGTTAGTGATTTAAGTAAACCTTTTAAGCTGCAAACATTATTTTGATGAGTATGGTAATATTGATCATTATATCATCCCAATATTGTTTGTAATTTAAACAGACAATTTCTGCGTTAATTTTTATTTATTTATTTATTTTAATTACGTGTTTTAAGTAGTGTATTTCTAGTTCCCAGCATGCTTTGCATAGGACTGGATAAGAAAAATAAATGTTGAAATTAATTGTTATTTTATGTGTTTTAAGTTATGGCAAAGATTTGTTAGACATTTAAAAGCGTTTCTGTTATGTTGAAGTTTTTGTGGTTACCACTGTACTGACAATTACAGTGACCAGTAATAATCAAATTGTTGAAATTATTTGGAGTAACTTATTATTATTATTATTTTTTTTTAAGACTCAACTTAAAAATTATATTGTGTTTATATGATTAATTTGCTCCAACTTAATGCTGTTTGTCAGTTGAACACAATTCCATTAGAAGTTGTCATAGCTCAAAAAGACTAAGGCAAACTGTTATGTATTTTTTTAAGCCAAAATCATTTGTTTTTAGATTGTATAAACGTAACTATAACAAATAATTATATTAGCATCCACACCAACGCAGGACAATAATCTGTTTATTATGGATGCTTGATACAGATATGTTGTTTGAAGCTTTAAATGCATAAACTCTTTAAAGGGTTAGTTCACCCAAAAATGAAAATTAGGCTGCGTTTTACTCACCCCCGAGGCATCCTAGGTGTATATGACTTTCTTCTTTCAGACGAATCTAGTCGGAGTTATATAAAAAATTGTCTTTGATCTTTCAAGCTGTTTAATGCCACTCAGCGGGTGTTGCATTGCTTCAGTCCAAAAGAACTTAAATAAAAATCCATAAAAAAAAGTGTCTCACACGGCGCCGGGGGGTGAACAAAGGCCTTCTGTAGTGAATCTATGCGTTTTTGTAAGAAAAATATTAATATTCAAAACGTAATAATCACTTTAATGTAGCTTGCGCCAAATTTTCATTTTTGGGTGAACTAACCCTTTAATGTCTGTTGGATTCTGATTGGCTGTCGGTGTTTTGCTGTTGAGCTGTAAAAAGTCTTTATGATAGTGATTCCAACAATGCGTTACATTACAGTGTAGTTGTTGTGTGTGGACTTCCATATTCTTATAGAATCAGAACGATTAATTAAACTTTATAGTTCCAGTTATTTTCCTTGGTGTGAATGACCCTTTAATCTGTTGTTTTAGAACACATTGTGATAAGCTGTGTGATGTCAATGTGAAAAAGACATCAAATGAATAGTTTATCTCATGTATCAAATCTTTCATGTAAAATGCGTCACATCAATAATGAAGCGGCTTTATTCACGCCATCACTTGTTAGATATCAGAGTGCACAAAGCATGATAGGGGAGCTTGGATTGTAACGTTGAATTTATCTTTGTGTAGATTGTAAAGAAGGTCAATCTCTACTGTCTGAGCACATACATCCAGGCGGACGCCATGAGGGTGGAGTTTCCAGAGATGATGTCAGAGGTCATTGCGTCACAGCTGCCGAAAATGCTGGCGGGAATGGTCAAACCCCTCATGTTTCACAACAAGTGATCCAGACAGGACACTTGGGTCTGTGATGATGTACATCTCTTGATGTATGTGTACCACATCTAATTAACACAGACATGCATATTTCCATATACAATCATCCCCTTATAGTAGTCACACGTTCTGATCTAATGTGTTATTAGCTATTGCTATTGCCTTCTACAAAACATGACAATCTTACATAACATGTTTCTGAGCATTTTTATGATAAATATAGAGTATATAACTTTCAGTCTTAAAATGTATTAAAAATGTGATGTATGTTTCTTTGAATTTTTCTAAGTTCATTGTTTTTTTTTTTGAATGAATCCTTAAATGTTACAAAAATGTTAACATATTAGACTCTAATTTATGGTTAAATTATACACTTTTTTCTTTTGTTTTTTTAAATCCTATATTTTCAGGAAATGTATCTATGAGTGTGAGGAAAAGCCAATGCTTATCTGTCTATCTCCGATAAGTGTCATGTGGACAGTTTTCATGTTCATTTCTTACAAACACCCAGTGCCAGGCACCTTTGATCTTACTTACATTTACAGAGTATCCACTCGCATCACGTAATCATAAGTGCATGTTAAGTATCTAATAAAAATAATAATGTTTGAAAGACAAAGAGCTCAATTGTACATCGGCTCAGAGATCACTGTATAATTAGTGGATCATTGTATAATTTGATCAAGTCTGATGTTTATTTTTAAAGCAGAATATTAAATGTTTTATCAGAAGCCATTTAAGAGCATAACATTTTAAAAACATTTTTTGGATCATCGGTCATTTCCTCTCTGTGACCTTGATGGTTTAGCTGAAGGGAGTATCAGTCCAGCATCAGCAGTCAAGGGCATGGAGTATTCTCATGCGTTTAATTGGAAAAGAACACTGGGATCTTGGCAATCGCCTCCTTTCCACATACTTCTGATGCTGTTTCTCCTCCGATCTCTGCCGGAATGAAGTGACTGATGTCTGAGATTTACTTCAGATGATTTAGCTTTTCTTAAATAGAAGACAAGAAGTGGGTCTCATTCTATAAACAAATTTATTGGCAGAACAGAAATGAATTAAGAAGAAAACTATATGATTTACTAAATAATCATCCATACATAAACTTCTATCATCTAGATTTTCATCAGTTATCTTCATAACACAAGTTTGGAATATTTCATTATGGCGACAATAAGACGACTGGAACGTACCACATTGGTGTTGTTGACACTGACAGTTGGTGTGATTTTAAACTTCAGAATGAATAATGTGACCTGAACCTCGTGTACAATGAAGCGGTTACAGCTAGACTTGATTCATTAGTATTTGTTAAAACTGATTTTTGTTTGACGTTCTGCAGTAACCTGGATACAAAACTGAGACAATATCCACTGCTATCTCATGCTTTATACCAGTGGTTTCCAAACTTTTCAGAATTAGGAATATTGTGTATAAGAAAATATTAGACATTTCAGTTATAAATAACTGGAACACTTAGTTGCATTCCACTAATTTGATTGAATAAAGCAGTCTTCCAAGGGTGCTTATATTTCAGCACAAAACTGGAAGATTTCACTGTCCACCAAACATAGAATTCTCTATGTCAATAACATACACCCAGTGGGCAATTAATGTTGAAAAGACATCAAAATTGACATAAAAAAACAGGTCACATTTGCAAATCAAACTGATGTCAAAAATTTGACATGACGTTGATTTGGTGTAAATTGAACGTCAAACATATTGGCCTACATATACTGTACATTAAACCAATTTCAAATATCACTGGAATAAATTGTCGTCAAACAAACTGAATTTAAAATGATGTTACAGCATTTTGAGCAAGTCTTGACTAATATTTGACATCAAAATGATATCAAGGTGCCCGCTGGGCATTTTTATTCATTTTTACTTTCAAAGCATTTTATTAACAGCATAATGTGATGAATATGAATATTATAACTGAAAATGTGTAAATATAATTTTTCGTCCCTTTAATGTCAGCAGCACTCAAGCTGCGTAAGCAAAGCCAATGATCTTGTTCTTCAGCATGATTTAAAAATGTTCCAAAGAGAATCTTGTGCTTCAGTGTTAAGCTGGAAATTTGACCAGAGGGTTAATATCACAATTTACCTAAAACCTAAACTTAATTATTAGTCATCTAGAAATATTGCAGAAATTCGTGTTCATTTTGTTTCTCCGTTTAATTTCTCTGTTTAAAATATTCAAAAATCCTAACAATGTGGTCTCAGACTTCTGAACACTAATGACAGTAAAAGCAAGTACATTCACGATAAAATAAACCACACACAAAGCAGAGTTTCTGCTGAACTGAGTTAAACATGACAGTGATTCACAGCTCAAATAGTTACGGCTGAGGTTTAACATTCTTCTCCATTATTTCAAGGCAGTTAGCATGGAGCTAAAATAAAAGAAAGTCTGTCTTTTAGACCTATTTTCTGACCTTTCTTAACAGAATTACAGTATTCCACCACATAGTACAGTAGACCTAAAATGACCATTTAGTGCAGTCCATCGCACCTCCTGATCTCAGTGTATGTGAATTTGTGTATCTAGACTCAAGCAGCACATGATGTTCATTTTAACATTTCAGCCTCAGCAAAAGCTTTGAAACCCAGTTGACATTAATCACCCTTGTACTGCATCATTGAGGTTTGTGTACCATCCATGATCTCTTAATTTCACTTACATGAATTCCATTTACATTCCATTGATATATAGTTAAAGCCCTTGGTCTAAAATTGATGTTACCATGGATACCATGAAATGCTTGGCCCCTTCTGGTTGGACGCTGTCAGAGGAACACCACGTAATTTTCAGGAACGAGGCCTTTCTTGCCCTCAAATGTTGCCTGGAGCCAGCCTGGTTCCACTGAAGGATACACTACACAGAGGAAAATGAGAAAGTTTAGTGGTGACAAGTTTAGACTTGATAGGAAAAATCTATTGTATTATTACTCATACTTAGGGATTTAAAAATACCGGGGCACAACAATGGATATGTGGCCTGAGACTATTTCTGAGAGCGTTTTGGGACAGATGACAGAACATCATTGGGTCAACAGAGCTTACTATTGTTGATCTTGCACATGCTTTGTATATTTCGCAAAAGTAAATTATTCAATATTAAATGGAATGTTGTTTGCTGATTTGATGTTACCAATAATGCCTTAATTTGAGAAGCATTAATAAGACTGTTAGACATTACAAATCAATCAGTAATGTTCCAGCAAATTCCAGAAAAAAAGATTGTTTCCATCTATTACTCATTATACATGAGCAATATTACACAAGTAGCAGTGCGATATGGCTATATATTAGCATGGCTGTGATTTGGCAGTAGGCACGAGACCGCAGGACAGTGTTTGTGTTCATGATAGTGATTTTAGTTTCGTTAATCCATGACAAGGAAGTAAACAAGGAAGTTATTTTTACTTTCAACAACAGCTTGTAAGACACAGCCAGCAAATGCACTGAGCAGCGCTGTCATTGAAAATCACCCTTAACAGATGAACGAAGATATGGCTTTCGTCAGCGGACATTCAAACTGATGTTTTATTGTGAATATGAGATTAAGCTGAAGAATGAATGCTGTATCAAATGCAGGTAATCACACTCGCTCAGTCCATCGCTCTCATAATACTCGACATAATACAGGTAGCTTTTAACCATTTTAATACAATAAACTTTCAATGAAGAAACTCAACGTTCCTTCGTTACTTCTAAAGTGACGTTTTCGAATTAGTAACGGAGGCTTGGGCTCAGCTGTTAAGCTGTCAAACTGAGATTTGTATCTGTGGTGGAAGGAAGTAGTTCTGCACAAAAGACGGTTTTTGAAGACACCCCAATGTTGTCTCTTTTTTTTATTTACACTCTTGTGCGGCCGAATCACAGTCATGCCGATATACAGCCATCTCGCACTGCTACTCGTGTGATATTGTTCATATATATGGAGAGAAAGAAAACTTAACACTTTTACATTTATTTAAATTAATAATTCAATTAATTTAAATTAATTAATATTAAATTGAATGTTGTTTGCTGATTTGATGTTACCAATGTAACTTAATGACATACAGTAGCTTAAATAGCAATAATGTCTTGATCTTAGAAGCATTAATAAAACTTAATTTAAAAGTCATAGTCAACATAGTCAAAAATAAAATGGCAATGTTTTGATGGGGTCAGTGAAATTGCAGGCAAGACAAGCAAAAAAAAAAAACCTACCAGCCAACTGGGTCAGCAGAAAACATCCTTATTGTCGAGCCTGCAAACCCTAAGCATCAAATCTAGCATATACCTGTACGTCGTCCCACATGTTAAGTAAAGACTTAAATGTTACCTCAAATCGTGGCTTATTGAGGTGTGCTATTATTTTTCTAAGTGATCAGACATATGACTTTTGCTTAGTGAATAAAACAGCTGAACAGAAACACTCAAAACACCTTAGCAACTGCAAAGCAAGGCCCCTTTTCCAGCCTTCATCTCAGACAAACACAGCATGTGTAGAAGTTCTGAATAAACTTGAAACACTGTAGCCATTACTTTTAAAGTTATTTGTGTGTCCATTATGTTCACAAAACAATAGTGACCTCAGGAAAGGGGGCATCAGTGAACCGCATATGCATGATTTTAATTAATGACGGATCAAGCTAGGTCAGTTTGCTCTGATAAATTACCCCCATAAAGTTTTCAAAGGACCTCACAAGTGACTCACCCTGTAATGACGCATTTCAACATACTCCGAACTATCAAAGCATCTGTTTAGACTGTAAAGCATTAGGCAGATGAGACTGGAAAATAAAGAGGCTTTAAATCGTTTTATAAGCAGAGCTCTCATAAGTCAACAGTGAGATGGTTGATGAGTAAGAGAAGATTTATTTTGTGCTAAGTGTTTGCTGAGCTTTAGAGAGGGGAAGACGCTGCCTGCACCAGGTTACTGTGACCTGTTTCAATGCCCTGGTGCCCAGCCAAGTTTGTTCCTTGCGGAAAATACGTCCAGCTATAAAATCCCAGTCCTGACATGTTCGAAGAAAACAGCAGATGGTTGTTCCACAGAGCAGACACAGGAATGCATTATTTTCTATCAATATTAATGCCCTGGTATGCAGCAATGTGCATCAGTCCAGTCATAGTTCATTCTCTTTTTGTGTTTTGTAACCATCTCCGTTACAAAAGACATACATATTTTGACATCCCTCAAAACACATTCCCAAAACAGCAACACGCAGATGGATAGATAGATGGATGGAACGACAGACAGGTATGGATGGATGGATGGAATGGCAGATAGATAGATAGATAGATAGACAGAACGGCAGACTGATAGATAGATAGATGGATAGATGGATAGATGGATGGATGGATGGACTGAATGGCAGACAGACAGATAGATGGATGGATAGACTGAATGGCAGACAGACAGACAGATAGACGGATAGATGGATAGATAGATCTCACCGTTGGAGAAGTGAGCCCCCTGTGGGAAGCTCAGCTCATTGCTGTGTTCAGCTTCACATGAATATATGGCTTTGGCATCTCTGTGGATGATAATCAGAAATGATAACATTTATGTATGTGCTCATATACTGTTTTAAATGAGAATTCGTTGGTTTTATTTTTGTTATGACAATTGCCATCAAATATATCTGAAACAGTAATGTCTTTATGGGCCATGTCCACTGTTACCTTCCCAAGGGAGGAGGTTTTACAGCTGATGGGTTCTCAAAAAGCAGCGCTCTGGCAGCCACCCTGGAACACAGAACCATGCCAAATGTCAGGGTGAGTGTCAACTTCATGATTTGACGTCACCAGAATTAGGCTGAATAAACAAACCATTTTCAGCTAAAGCAGGTAGCCACAATTTGACCTCACATACAGGTATACAGTAAAAAACTTTTGTGTGAGCCAAAAGTCTGCATTCATTACTGGTAAATTTAGACAGTAAGTATATTGTTACGTCCCAAGACGTATGAATTTGTGTTTTATTATCATGGTGTGTGTCTTTCATGATATGCTGCAAGTGGACCCAACGGCCTTCTGGGAGTTGTAGTTTTTGTTGTATATATTGTCCTATTTTCTGTGCTCCTCCCTGTCCTAATCTAGGTGATTGGACATACCAGCTGCTGCTCGTCAATGTCAAGAGGAACCAGTATTTAAGAAGATCAAGCGAGTGAGCCAGTGAGATGTTCCTTCTCCCAAGAGCATGAGTGTGTTGAGACGTTGCCAGTCCCAGAGTGTTGCTCTTGTTGGTGTGTTTTAAGCTTAATATGGTCATATCTCAGAGGCGCGCACGCTGCGCATACATGCTGCGTCATTCGCCGGAACTGCTTCAGTGTATGACAGATACCGGAAGTGAGAGAAAAGTGTTTATTAAGTTTTATGTTATTAAGCCTACATTTAAAACCAAACTTAAAGGGTTAGTTCACCCAAAAATGAAAATTAGCCTGTGTTTTACTCACCCTCAAGGCATCCTAGGTGTATATGACTTTCTTCTTTCAGACGAATCCAGTCAGAGTTATATAAAAAATTGTCCTGGCTATTCCAAGCTCTATCA